TGCATTTAGTTAGTGTATGCAGTTTTTTTTAAAGGTTTTCAATTCACAGGAAATTTGAACTAACCAAAAGCAATTCAAATCAAGGGTTGTTTTAGGAGTCACATCCGCAACACACTTTGAAAAATTATTTTCTCTGGATCTCTGAGGGATAGTCAAAATGTTTTCTGGCAAAATAAAAGGTACTTCAGGGGTAATTTTATGACATGACTCATTTCAATTCAAATAGTTTGGATCTGGCTTTAGGAGACATTTAATACTCAAATTTTGCCTCTAAATGTCACGTCCGCAACGTGGAATTGACCATGAGTATTGGTCCGACCGGGGCTCGAACCCTCGACCTCCCGCACAACACAATCCGGCGCTCCAACCAATTGAGCTAACAGGGAGCCGGTCTCTTTCTAACTAAATCAACAAAAGTCACTGAGAAGGGAAATTTTGCATTCACTTGCAGGGGCTCAACACAAACAGTAGCCAACCAGCTATACACTAGTAGAAATTCAGTTTTGGCTAGTAGTTTTATATTTCCACTAACCAGTTTGGCTAATAAATAAACTGAAATTGCTGTAATATCTAACTTGTCACTAGCCACTTAGCTTGTAAGAGGAAAAGTTAGTGTAGAGCCCTGACTTGACTGTGGCGGTTGTTATACAGGTATTAAGTAAACTGTTATTGATCTTTTGACAGTTTTACTCAGATTAGATGCTTTTACAGCATAATCTTCTATTGTCTTATACGCGTTGATTATCAGTTAGCCATCTTTTCTTTGCTTTCATGGTAAGTGGGCCCTGTATGTTTTATTTGGTTGAGTTTCCTTTGTAATAAACCTTGTCTTTTTTAATTACAGGTCTGGCTGTCAAGGAGTTGAAGTAGAAATTTTGTTACACCATGAACTGAAATAAAATGTAAATAAACAGCTTGTTTTGGTTTGTTTGATGTTCTAAATGTGACTGCACAAATCTTGTGTGGTTCACCTTGGTTAGGTCTAAAATGAAGCCTTACTCAGGCTTTGGTATTAAACACTCAGTGCACCTCCTGGGAATTTTATTCATAAGTTAGGTTATTAGAAGAAAACAAGTTTTTTTCCAATTTAGAGAAGAAATTTGGTGATGGTTTTGAATTCAGTTTTGCCAGGCGATGGCTTAACTTTTAATTTTGTTTTAATAACTATCCTTATGTGATACCAGCAAAACAGTCCTTAACAGGTGATCAAAGCACTTAAAAAACAGCAACAGGAATACTTGTGGCAGTTGATCAGCACTCGTGATAGGGAAAGTAATCCATTTTAGAAAGAGGTTGGTGACAGTAAATTGAGATTTAAATACAGTAGAAAAAGTAGGGAAGGAAATTTGATTGAGGTTGCATTCAGTGTATTGGTGATAGTTGGAGAGGTTACTGGTGATTTCCAACAATTTTAAGACCTTTTAAAGCTTCTTACTGCAGTCTGTGTGGCAAGACCTGTTTGCTATATTGGTACTGAATTTTGCAGCTCCACACCCCATCACTATCAGCAACAACCTGTGCAAATTGTATTAAAACACTTGGTACAAAGGATAGTGGCCCTTGAGGTTAGGGAGACCCTCTTTGTTATTGTTGCAAGGTGTGTACTTCATTTCTGGGAAGATTTGAGACAAGTCCTGGAGAGGTTTGCCACAGGTCTGGCACTGTGATCAGCTCTAGACAACTCACAGACCTCTCCATCTCAGTTTGCCTAAGGCTTGTACTTTCTGGCAAGCAAAAACATGCTTATGCTGAGGACCATTAAAAAAATCAACTGTGGACTTATTAACAGCACATCAAGACACAAGTGTAAGAGTTTGTTTAAAAAATTAGGAACAGCCTTATTTTATACATCTCAAGATTGCTGGTTTACACAACAAGCTCTAAGATTTTTTACCATATTTGCCTTCACTGGCCTGTGTTTCATTTCCTTTCATTGAGAGTGCTACCGGGAACACAGTGCTACATAGCATTCTATTTAAAATACTATGCATGAAAAATGGTTGAAAACGAGTGCAAATTTCGAATCCACTATCACGATGCTTTTTTTCATGTAAATTATTAATAAGTGACAACATGATTTTGAGTGCAATTTGTTGTTAATAAGCACTTGTAAAATTTTTCAGACTAGAAATTGTACTTGCCCAACAGGCTCGTGCAATTTGTTGTCTTTGAAAAACTTACTTGTGCTTATTAACACCAAATTGCAATTGAAACTGTGTTATTACCTATACTAAGACAATCAAATTGAAAAAAGATGATTGCAAGTGTACCTATAAATAAAAAAAATATGAAAATAGATTGCCATGGCTTTAAGCAGCCTTTTGGACAGGATGATATAGATAATAACCTATCACTTTACAACATCCTCTAGGTTTAGCAAATGTGGCTTGGAAGGAGAGTTGACTTTTCATCCATTCAATTTCACTGTATGGGTGACATAAATGCAATTTCACTTTTCAAGTTAACTCTAAATTCTTAGGTAGAAAAATTAAACGGGCAACAACCTCTCCCTGCGAGGTTATATCACATTGTAGATACACTTCATTGGAAATTTGAACTAGCGTGATGTAAGAGCCAGTAAACATTTTGCATATGACTCAACGCTATTACATCAACTATGTCATTAAATTAATATCACTATGTACAAAGTTATAATACCTAATTTCCATGTTTAAGAGCGCATTGCAAAAGATAAATATTTTTCAGCGTAAATAGTGGCTCCCCTTCATGGGATCACATAATGTACATTAAAATGAAACTTGCACAAAGGAAACCCCAAATTAAGCAAACACCAGGTGTATAAAGCAGACACTAGCTACGGTTGTGTTCATGTTTCTGTGAGTTCTAAACAAGTCTCCAACCAGCAGAGACTTTTAGCCATTGATCTAATTAATAAGCCAATGACAAGTATGGTTGCTACTGAACCGTACTGAAACATTCTTACTCTTATTATTACACAGATAAGTGTAACAAGGTTTCCATGGTTGCTTCCTTAGTTGGAGTTTCCCTGAAAATCTAACAGAAGAAAACATGCAAACTTCTTAAGACAGTACCAGCTGTAATAAACTTTATATTCATAGTTGCATTGAATGCATATGTAGATGTTCTTGAAATAGTGATAGTGAAATTGTCCTATTTACAATAACTGAACTGCTTGAAACATCATGACATTCATTCACTTTTTGCTGCTATGTGTTACTTTCCAGCTGCTTAGAACAAGCAGGTCAACAGTGAATTTGGTAAAGGTAAAGAATCTGATCCCACCAACACATCAGCCAACACCTTGGCCAATGCATCTGTCGAAGCTTGCCCGACTGTTAGTCAACTATTGACCGACTTTTGGTTGACTATCGGCCGACATGTTGGCCAACATTTATCCTTATAACTTACAAAATACTACTTTAAAAACAAAATTACCAAAGTATGCCTTATCCAAATTGCTCATGTAAGCTTACTTACAAAATTTACTGTCAAGGAAAAAGAACTGATTGATAGACACATGAAGTTTCACTTAATCTGTTTAAATGTATGGCCTCCTTTCTGCTGTTACTAAACAGCACACAAGTTGTTGAGCAATTTGTTGGCATTTTTATCTCACCCAAAAAGTGATATTTCTATTCATTACCTAAGCAAGAGTGGACAAACTTTGAATATAAAAAGTTCAGAAGCAATTGTGAAAACTATACAAAATATGTAAAGGAAAAATGAAGGTCCAACATGTGTTCCTTGTGGTAACTTGTATGGTTTTCCACCAATTTCTGGCATTTGAAATCCCATCGGGAATGTGAGAGCTGCCAGACAGAACACTATCACTACAAAATGAAAAGGAACATGTTAAAGAAAAAAGTCTATTATTTATTATTTATTTGCTCATTTATTTATTCATTTAATTGTTGCGTGTGTCTGTGTGTGTGTGTCTGTGTGTGTGTGTCTGTGTGTGTGTCTGTGTGTGTGTGTATGTGTGTGTGTGTGTGTATGTGTGTGTGTCTGTGTGTGTGTATGTATGTGTGAGAGCCTGTACAGTGTCTGTTTAGATAGCCCACTTGCAGGCTACAAAGGCCTTTATTTCTTTAATTTTAAATAATAATTTTTTAACAAAGTCTCTAACATTAAGCATCTAATTCTACCAACAGCATAACCTCTGAATCAAACAGTAAGTTTATGAGAATAGAGGAAATGATTGTAAACTTGAGAAATTCTCCTTAAAAGCACCATAGGAAATGTATAGAGAACAGTAGGGGGAATTTGCAAACTGATGTTAGCGCAGTAAGGGTTAACCCCTTTAACCAAGGCTGTGGTCTTTGGTGCCTTACTTTTGGTCATGGGTGACTCAGGAATTTTAGTTTTTTCATAAAAAGCCTATGCTGGGCACCCTGGATTTCATAGTTTCAGAGCACTGGGCTCCATTCAATTTTCCTTAGAGCAACCTTGCCTTTAATCCCCAAAATCTGATTGTTAAGTTTGTGGTAATTATTTGGGGAGGGTAAGTTCACAGGTGTGAAAAGATCAACCAAATAAAAAAATTGTCAAGTAATCTTTGCATCAAGTAACATGGCATACATGTAAACCAAAAATTTAATTTTCAATTTAAGGAATATAATTCAACTAATTCTAGCATAAACTGATACTGTTACTCATGCATTCAAATCTCAATCTTCAAACTTTTAATACTTACTTCCAAGAAAAATAATCCACTTGGCCGCATCCACAATGGCAGGTTTCCAAGGAGACACCAGTAGCAAAAAGCATGTGAGTGTGAGAGCTACCACACCCAAAATCATAAACAATAGAGTAGCCAGCCACTCTTGGGGTAAATCAGGGGTGACACACACCTCTGGTTGCCCCTCTGATTTCTGACACATGACAGTCAACCCTAGTCGGACAGAACCTGATTGAAACAGAGGAGAAGATTGAAGATTTAAAACATATTCTGAAAACAGAGCAAGCAATAATATACTATTGTTCTCTGTTTATCGAAACACCATTAAAGAAACAAAGCAAACTCCAGCTCCTTGTAAACAAGGGTTTGCATAAGTCCCTTACATTGCAAGACCTCAATAGAGATAAAAAAAAAATGTTTACATGTATTTACATGTATTAACGAGCACCCTTAAAGGTAAAAAACCTCTTGTTTATTGGACTGGTACACCCATAGAAAATTGAAACATGTCATGCTTTGTTTAAAGTTTAATTTCTAAAAGCAATAGACCCCACTTTCACTCAGTTTAGCTGACATGATGTTGGCAGGACACTCCAAAATGTTGTAAACTAACTGCCTCTGGCTTGTGATTAACAAACTTTTTTCTTATATTCTCCCAACATCCCACTTTGGCAATGCAATTAGGCCAGTAAACCAATAGAAAGTGAGGTCTAATGCTTAAAGGTATCTATAAGAGAAAACATTACCCATTGGTTATATCAGCAAAGTTTAGCCATTGTTTAACACAACTGCTTCCACGACTATCCTCTATTTAGCTGAACCTTTTATCTTTTTAGCTTTCAGAACAGTGAAAATGGGGCTGAAAGTTAACACTGTGGAAGGACATTTATTAATAAACCCATTAATAGCCACAGCTTTTGTGAAAAACTGTGTTTTGAAGCTAGTCGAGCAGATTTTGGGTCACTGCTGTGGTTTTAAAAGCTCAAACTTACCAAACCCATTCACAGCTTGTACACTCAACGGCCTTTCGATCCAAATGCAAAATGGCGGCCTGAAAATCTCAGGCAGGCGCAGAAAGCAAAATTTCGAGTTTTTGGGTTGAAAAGTAATGCCCCCCTTATGACTTTTACTTTTCTCTCTTTCTCCTTCCATTTTTTCCCCCTTTCCTTGCCTGAAGTTTCTCCTCACTTGCTGGAAATTTAGTAGGCTTCATTTTGGTGTATAGATTTTTTAGGAAACTACTCATTATTTTCAAACCACATGCTCAGAAAGGTAGGTGGGTAATGGAACAAGATTTTTGTGCAAATTTTCAGGTCAAAGTTACATGGTTTTTTTGGCTATTTCTCCAATCCCCTTCACTCAATTGTGCTCATTCTGGTATCGTTTGTAAGATATTTTCAACTTGTTTAAGTGCATGCTCAAAGTTGTGCTCCAGGGTTAAAAGTGGTGATGTCACAAGGCGTAGAAAGGGTGTGGTTCCACATGGGCGCTTAAAGGCGCACTCGACGTCAATAGGTTAAATCAACCCTCTTCTAGAGAAAGACAGAGTCCTACTGATTGCCCAAAAATGTGATTTGAGTATTTAGACGTTGTGTGAATAACCAGCCCTTTGTCTCTCATATTGAAACTTCAGTATCTTTTTCCTATAACTTGTCTGTACAAGGCATTTTTAATTCTTGAGCTCCTGGGATGAAAAAACCTAGCTTCCCAGTAGCAAATACAAAGAGCCACAATGGTCTATAAGTCTCTGCATGGCTTCTAAGCTCCAGACTATTTACATTCTAAATTTGAAAGGCAAGAAACAGCATAGAACCTACGAGACTCTGAGAATAAGCTTATGTTCCATCGCCGCACACAAACTATTATAAGAATAGCTTTAGCTATAGTGGCGCCACCCTTTGGAACAGTCTTCCTCATGATATAAGACAAGCAGAGTCCGTTGGATTATTTAAGCATTTAATTGAAGAAGTACATTGTGGCATGGCATTCATGGAAAGCAGCTTTAGTTAGGTTTAGGTTTTAAGTATAGTTTTCATAATAGCATCTTATCCATTTGATGCATTTTGATACTGTCAGCCTTCTCAAAAATATTTCAAGAAGTAGGTTAATGGATTGGTGGAGAAGGTTGAGGTGCCAACAGCACCCCTTCGAGTGCCCTGCGGGCACGAGCCTGTAGGGGGGGTCCGGGGGCATGCTCCCGAGAAAATTTTGGAAATTGAGATGCTCGGAGATGCAATTTGGTGCATTTTGAGTGTGTTGAAAGGGAAAAAGTCATGTAATTATTATATAAGATTTAAGCGGATCATGCCATCTAAACGCACTATGGTAGCTTTTTTTTAACCTTCTCTGTTTGCGTTTAATTTTTTTTTTGTTTTCTTTTTCATTTGTTGCCGTTGAAAATTATATATTTTGACTGAAAAGAGATGGCCAAGATTTGAAAGGAGGCGGCTCGTGGAGCCACCGACCAGCCAGTTTTGAGAAGGCTGACTGTTATATATTTTAAATGTTTTATTTATGGCTGATGAATTGTCTTTGGATAAATAAAGATTATCTATCTAATGGTTTTTTGAAGGCGAACTCCCATTCTGAAGAAACAAAAACGGCTTCATATCAAACATAACAGTTGATCAATGTGAATTTGATTCAAATGGTTCACCTACATGGGTACAACTATATTATTGGGGTAAATCAGGGGTTATATATCAGGTTTTACTATTCTAATGCATAAAAACAACAACTTTGCAGTTTTAAAATGGTTTTGTTCGTTGATTTCTCTATTCACAGCCTATTTTTAGTTTAACATGCACTCCACTGGAGAAGTCACTTGAAAAGGTTTCCTGCCTCAATATACGATTACTAAGCAGATTTTCCTCTTTCGCAAATGTATCAATTCGGTACTAAACGCTATAATTTTCTTCATAATTTAAGAAGACCCACTCCGCAAAGAGATCTTAAGCCCATAATTGCCGCTTTACTATAATTTCAAGTTTTAATCGAAAATTGTACTGCGACTTACCCGCAAACTCCATCACCACCCACTCTGGAGTTGCCAATGACGCTATGGCGAAGACATCGGCCGCAAAACATAAAAATCCTCCTACGATCACAAATTTGTCCATGATTTAGGCGTACTCTAGGTATAAATATTTAGTTGAATACACTCCAAGAATTATCCAATTACGCCGAACACAGAGGGAAAACAGTGACGTTCTAACAAAGTCAATCAAAATGGTCGAATCAATCTTCTGGAACATTAAATGATTTGGTTGGATTTCGGCGCATTTTTACTTCAAAGACCATCTATGGTATGTGTGATCGTTCCTCTATCTTTTAGCCCTGGAGAAATGTCCCATAATTGTCTAGCTTTGAGCGAAATTAAAGCATTTGAATCTGCTCACGCAAAACCCCAAAGATGTTTGGAAATCTGAGGAAACATGGGAACTAATGATTTGACGTTCGTGTGACGTCAAATAAGATGGCGGACGGTTAAAAGTATAAAGCGCATCTCGTTTGAAGAATAAAAATACTTTCGTTTTTCATCCTCGCAGGGAAGAAAAATTAGCCTAAATGATGAGTACTTCGCCATATATTTTACAGAGGTTTGTTTCAGCGAAAGAGCCTGAACATGAAGGATTCACATCCCTCTCGAAGACAAAAACGGTACACGAACAGGGAAGTATGTCTGGTGAAGAAGCGAGAACTTTTTATGAAGTTGTTCTTTCATCATCTAGTTCTGATGCACAAGGCGTTTTAGCGGTGGAGGATTACAAGCATCCAAGGAATAAAGTAAATGGATCGTCAAAGAAATCAACCTATTCAACACCAACTGTAAACGATTTGAACACCAATATGAAGGGTTGTGCCTCCAACTCCAGCTCCATACCTCGTAAATCTCGTGTTACCACTTCTGATCACAGACTAGTGAACGATTTTTTAAAAAATGCTCAAGAGGGAAATTTAAAACGAGTCCAAGAACTGCTATCCAATAAGAGTGTAGACATAAATGTATGTGACCAATTTTCCTGGACTGGATTGATGTGTGCATCTCAAAATGGACAGATTCACATTGTCAAATATTTACTTGAGAGAGGAGCTTTGTGGAGATCTTATAAAGACTCACAGGGAAGAACAGCTTTAGACCTTGCAAAAAATGCACAACACTTTGACATAGCAGAACTTCTCAGATCTTTCAGAGGTCTGCATAAATGTAGACACAAAAAATCTTCCTGTGGAGAGCATGCAAACAGCATTAAACAAACCAAATTTTGGTGCTCTGTTTGTGAGCAAGAGTTCACAGATCAAAAGGGCATACATGAGGGTTCAATGGTGCATTTGTTCAATATACAACGCAAGCCTCAAAAAACATTCTATTATATTCCAGAAGGAAATGTTGGCTATCAATTGATGTTAAAGTCTGGCTGGAATGAAGATCAAGGTAAGCATAATTTCCCTGATTTTCTTTTTCTTCCTGATCCCTTATGGCATGAGTGGGATAAGAATAAAGAATTTTACCCAAAGTCCATAATCAAAATGCACAGTTTTTGTTTTGTTTTGGTAGGAAGTATTGACAGTTTTCCTTCTACTCCAGCACAAAACTTGTTATTGGGAAACTAATACAGACAAACTTTCTCATGTTAACCCTTTGACCCCTAAGAGTGATTAGCGTCTAATTTCTCCCTACGTTATCAGCCCTAAATCAAACATTAAGGTTATGAGAATAAAGGAAATGATCACCAACCAAACAAACTCTTGATTATTAAACAAATTCTCCTTGTCTACACCCAACGAAAGGTATAGATAACAGTATGGAGAATATACATGCTGATGTGAGGGTGTAAAGGGATTACCAAAGCATTGTAACAGAATCGTAAAATAAAGCGAATAACTCATGGTGTAATAAGGAAGCTTGGTACAGCTTTTTCATGTTTTCGACAGGGGAGGGGAACATCTCCCCCAGATAGCCTAGCAACAGGGCTCCAAGTTAGGCTTTTGCAAAGTTAACATTTGGCAAACTTAGATCATAACACCGTGACTGTCACCAGAAATTAAATTAGAGTCAAATTGTTTAATTAGATGACAATGATTAAATGTTCACCGTAATAGTGCTGTTTGGCAATGGTTAGGTCATTTCAGACTATTAACACCCAGTACTAAAACTTCTACAACTTGATGCATGATTGCTGCTCACAAATCATCAAATTGGTGAGCTCCACTGAAAATTAAGTGGCCAAAAATTGTACTCTGCTGTTCAATGATAAAAACAGGCACAGCTTGGAGTGATGCCCAAGACAAGTAGACTCAATAAAGGGCCAGTTATTGAAGGAGCAGGTAATGCTATACTATGGATAAATCCCCATCCAGTGGTTGAAAGTTATAAAATGTACTTTGCTATCCTACACATAGAGATTTAACCAGTAAATAGCATTTTCCACTCTTCAGCAACAGGTGCCTTTTCACTTCATGCTGCAGAAACCAGTGATAAGCACTAATAGTTACATTTCAAAAAGACTTGATCTTATAACCAAAACCTGCTTGACTGTTATTGATTTCTGTCTATCACAGGTTTAGGCCCAGATGGTGTTGGAAGGAAATACCCAGTTAGAACAGTCCTTAAGAGAGACCGCTTAGGATTTGGTAATAAGGGAAGTCAACCAGCAAGAGTGACACACTTTGGTCCAAATGATCCCAGTGCTGTGAAGAGGAAAAAATCCATCACCGAGAAAGAAAAGACCCAAAGAACTAAGAAAAAGACTAGTCGAAGGGATAGGGTAGCTAAAGAGAAGAAAGAAAAGAATTGGGAAAGAAATATGAGGATTTATATGAACACTGAGTAAAATTTATCATCTACAGCTTTTATTGCGGTAAAACTAGTGAACAAAGTTGTGGTGTTAACTGCCATTCTTTGTATAAAAAACTTGAAATATCAATACCTTAGTACTACTATAGGAATATAAATAATTAATCTAACTCAATGTTTCTATGTTACAATGACTAGTTTTTCTCTATTTAAATAATGGTTACACTTTTTACAACTCAACAGAATTGGTGGATGGTTGAAAACATTACTGATTTGCTCTGAGTACAATCTTTTGTTTGTGTTTGATAACAATTTGTACTTTGTGAACTATAAATGCCTTGTATGCCCCCTCCCCCTTTATTTTTAACCCTTCTCTCTAATAAGGCCCCAGAAATTCAGTTTTCTGATAGGTCCCCTCCCCTCCCCTCCTATTTTGAAATTCAGGTTTCTAATAAGACCCCTCCCTCCCCCCCTGTTTTGAAATTCAGATAGATAGATAGATCACTTTATTTATACGCGGTAAATTCCACTCATTCGTATACAATCAATATACCTACAAATGTAAAACTTAAAACTATAATCATTATAAAATATATAGAAAGATTAAAAGCCTAATCTAAACGAACTGAACTAACTTCTTATTAGAATGAAAATAAAAGTACTGCTTTTCAGGGAGGCCTTGTCATTAGTTCACTGAAAACTGAAGTTACTTAGCTTCATCTTAAACTCACCTAATGTTTTAGATACTCTAATATCAGTCGGAAGGCTGATGGTTTCTAAAAAGTAATAAGTCATGTTTCTAATAAGACCTCTCTCTCCCCCCCTGTTTAGAAATTCAGGTTTCTAGTAAGCCTGCTCCCCCTCCTTGGAAAGTAGTTTCGTTATTTATTGAGACTGGGTTGCAGTTATACTTCAATTACACATACAAAGCCTCTATGTCATGTTCCACTGCATATTGGGGATTTTCAAATAATTAAAAGTGTGCTGTTCATGATAATAACCCTTAAAACAAGAATAAAGAAGCTCTGTAGCAGAAGCTTATTATGGGAATAATACATCTGTAGTTATGAAGAGGCAGTATTTGTAAAGTTTTCCAAATACCAGTCAGGGAGGACACAGTGCACTTCATCTGACGTCTCTGTAAATGTAACTTCTTCAAATGGCTCTCTCCAGGAGAATGTGTACATGACCCCTGGTCCACTCTTCACAACCACTGTCTTCACCCAGTCAAGAAATCTGTCCAGAAAGTTTAGGCAAATGGACGAATCCCAAAGATTCTCTTCATCTCGAACAAGTCGTGGTATGGCCAGAGTGTTGAATGTTTGGAATTCTTTCACTTGGCCATTGTGATCCCTGTAGCCACAGATGATTTTTGGCACTCCGGCCAAGTAAGACTGGGCCCACCACTTGATCAGTTTGTAGCGTTTGAAGGTGTAGTGGTGGTGGTGGTTGTGAGGTTTCAAGGAGGTTTTCAACTCTATATAGTTTGCTGGGGCTTCTCCGTGATCCTGGGAGAAAACATGGAGTTTTAATTTTAAGCTGTACTATATTCTATTTACTAGGGAGATGCAGTGGCAGACACAATGGCATAATTTTTAATGGGATTGAGAAGTCCGGTGTAAAGGACCTCACTGGGTGATTACATTTTGTTCTTGGATGAAATGCTACTTTTGCAGTGCCTCTCTCCAACCAGTAGTACAAAAGGGTCACAGGGAACTGTCTGGGAAGCCTAATTGAGTATAACCTTGTGATGGACAAGCACCTTATCCAAGGGGAATTAGTAACACTCATAGTTGCTTGATGCTATGGCTACTGGTGTTAAGCTTTGGCTGAATGAGCCATCCTTTACCACCCTTTGCCGCAACTTTACTTTTTTTAACATAACTAGCTACTAAACCAACTGTTAATACTCAGTACATAATCTTGCATTTCTGAAAAGTTAGAAGCACAAGCAAAAAAAGGAATAATAAAGTAACTGAGGTCAACCCATAATAATAATAATAATAATAATAATAACGAATATTTATACAGGATGGCCCTTCAGTGCAGGAGCACTGTTATCAATGGGGTCCTGTCTAAATAACTTAATATAAGGATAAAAACTAGAATAAGATAAGGATGACTACGCACCTAATTAAATGCCCTATGCAAAAAATTGATCTAAAGACTCCCTAAATGGTACCCTACTGCTAATTGTGGAACTAGAAAAAAAGATAGGAGGTGAGAAACCTGGCTTATAGGTGATTACATGTGACATTTCTTTGAATCAGATTCCTTTGCAGGAATGAAAAACCTTCTAAGATTTACCTCCCAATATATGGCTTCATAACTCAATTATTATAGCACCCAACTGGTATCTGGTAGGCACATGTTCAATTCAAAGTCTAAATTTTTTCAGGCTTCTTTAAGGATGTGGTTTTAGGATGCCCCAATAAGGGTGTGTTGCAAACATGCTTTCTAAGCAAGCAGTACTGAGTGCAGATCAATTACACTTATTACTAACATTTTTCTGAAGACAACCTTGTACTAAAATGAAACCCACCTTAGTGCGGCAGTCCACTTCAGCGCCAAACACCAATGAGTGTTTATTAAGCCTAGCTCTGATCACAGTGATAAATGCCTCACTATCATTACTAGCACGGCTTTCCCTGGCTGTTTCTTCAGTTTTGTTTTGACGACTTTTGTCTACCAGGGAAGTGACATAGCTTTCAAAGTTATATCCCCAGAAGCACATCTCTTTGTGTCTTTCTTCCATATTCTCCCGCTTGTCTCTGTTTTCTTCAGTTTCTATTTCCATAATGTAGATTGTTCCATTGTGTAGAACAGCTGCCATTTTCCAAGATTCCCTTGTTTCATAGGGTGTGCACATAATCTTTGTTAAGTGCCCCCTCCATGTTATGAAATCTGTGTGTAAGCTAAAAAATAAGAAGTCATGTTTTTCATCTTTGGCCCTAGACACCAAAATTTTCATAATGATTGGCAAAAAATACATACTGCCCAGTTAGTCCAATGGATAATGTGCTGGACTGTTGTGTGGGAGGTCGAGGGTTCGCCCCGGCTGGACCAACACTCAAGGTCTTAAAATAATTGAGAAGAATTTTGCTACCTTTCTATAACATCAAGAAATGGTTAGATATTCTAGTCTTCTCGGTTAGGGATGAATAAATGGAGGTCCTGTCTCCTGCAGGGTTGGGGGTAGGAGACGTTAATTTTCCACACACGAGATTACTGTGTGATGGATGTCCTCCCCTGGAGTGGGATGGTGGGATGTACATGTACAGGCCCCCATTTAAACCAGCATCAAGCTGAACTGGGCTGGCCTGTCTAAATATCATAAATACATTCAAATACAATTCAAATAAATTTTGAACAAAACAAGCTCCTTGCACGGCAAGTTTGGGGTGAGAAAATACAAAATCATTGCACCCCAAACGAAATTTGGCTTACAAATCATCCAATGATCAGAACAAATTGCTTTACTGTATGACATTTCATCAGAAAATTTGTAGTTTAGTGGAGTACCTGGGCCAATTTGATTTTGATCAATTACTTGCAATTGTGATATTTCGTAAATTAGTAAAGTTTTAATTCATCTGCACCCCCCCTCCCTTAGGAATCCTAAAGTTAATTTTCTTTTGGCACCCATAAGAAAATTAAATCTCCGATGAAAAAAGTGCAGAAAGCCCAACATACTTAGCCACTAGGAGTGGTGAGATTTCTGCACAGCCCCATATTTCGTTATGCATACAGTTTTGGGAAATATGGCAAAAACAGTAGATTAACTATGAGAACACCGATTTGGTTTACAGCTGTGCGAAAATCTTACCCATCTGCATGGCTTAAGTTTACAGACTAGAAAACAAAAAAACCTCTCTTCTGTGGATCTGCCATTACCCCCCTTCCCAGGAAGACTCTTGTTAGTTAAAATACAACTAATCTCACCTGGAAAGTGGAGTTTTAGGTTCTGGAGGAGTCTTGCACGTTGGACTTTGAACGATTTCAAACTTCTCCTGATGACACTGAACCCATTGCAACAAGTGTTCCAACCCTTCTTTCACATCTTCGTTCCGTTTCACAAAGTCTTTATAACCCGCCCTGAGGTCGAAGTCTATATCATGCGGAGGACTGAAATACCTCAATTGTCTCTTATCATCATGAAACCTTCTTTGATCGTCTAAAGAGAAAAATCCCACTTCAATTGGTTGTCGATAAAAAGGAAGTCTTCCTCGAAAAGCCTCGACAGGTGACACCGCAAAGCTTTTCTGTGTTACAGAGCTATCTTTTCGAGTTTTCTTTGGTGCTACAACCTCAGAATCGTCTGAACGACGTTTCATGTTTGGCCGTTAATTGAGTAATCGAAAGCGTCTTTAAAGCGTCTTTCAGTATACTTCGTCCACCATGTTGGAACACGGTGCGAGTAGAACTCTGGTCTATCAAAATATTTCAATTGTGCTGTTGTGTAAGCCTTTACTAAATGTCCCCGATTTCGATCAGCTCTCCAATATTTTTCAGAATAGATTACGCAAGATCGTATGAAATGGTTCACGACTTCAGCTCAGACATTCCTTCAACCAACATAGCATCAAAAGACATACTACTGCTTCAGTTTCATTATGCATGCCCCCCTCCTCCCCAGGCAGGTGTATCAAGGGCTGTACTGTATTATAACACAAGCCCACCGAGGGCTCCTGACTGTGACAAGAGAAAACAGCCCTCCTCCAATCAAGTTCTAATAACTTGACCATTCAAAAAGAGATCAAGAACTTAAAAGACTCAACAAAACAAGGTTGGGACTGATGATAGTACTGACCTCAACCTGGTACAGTGGAACCTCGATTTAATGAACCTCTACAGAAAAAAGTCCTTGGTATAGCGAAGGATACTTCCGTTTAAGCCCGGCTAAAGTTGCAGTAAAATGTATGCTACAGAACCTCAATATAATGAACCAAGTTCCTCAGTCTATTGGCACTTCGTTAACTTGAGGTTCCACTGTAGTCTATCATAAATGCCCTGACTCTATACTGTTTTCTCTAAATGTCATGGGTGCTGACAAGGAGAATTTGTTTACTAATACTTTACTAGTGCTTCTTTAGTCATTCATCAATTCCTTCATTTGCGAGACCTTAATGTTTGATTCAAGGGTTAAAATTGCAAGGCTGATTAGAAGCCAGTCACTCTTAAAGGTTAAGACAACCATTCTCAACAGAGTTCTCAACAGAGCTCCAATTATAAACAGCTCTTTGGTGTCCCAAGGGTTTCTGTTAATGAGAGCATGCTCTGTAGAATACTTTTGTTCCCAATCAAACTCTCTGTTTTATTTTATCACTCTGAGGTAACAAAAGCACATGAGCGTGAGCCATGTCTAATTTTTTCATTAAAACATAACATGTCTCTTACTGATAAGTAGCATGTTCAAAACTCAAGGTCACTGGACAATAACTTTGGTTTCAAAGTTGACCATGACAAGGAACCTTTTTTTTTTTTTATTGTAAAGGGCATAACTGTAACTATTTTTCAATTATGTCAACTGTTGCCTTCAATTTCATCATCTGAAGAAGAATCATACGCAGAAATAAGCGAGATGCTTCCGGATTCATTCTTCCTTTCCTTAATTGTCCCATGCCCTGGATGTTTTGAATGCGACATTTCATTTGCTCTGTTAAGTGATGCCTGCTGTTTGGACCACTGAATAAGATCTGAAAGTGTCTTTGGTGGTGACTTTCTCATTGTATTGTATCCTGTCCCTTGACTGGTTTCAGTCAACTGAGCTGGCTGTATGTCATATTTCATATCTGTACCTGTGTTTGGCTCGTAGTACTGATAATCTGTATCCGGATAGTAACCAACTGCTTCTCCACTCTCCTTAAGGGCACGATCTATGTTACGACGTTTCTGTGGGAAAGAGTTATCCTTAACATTATCATGCTGTGGAAGTCTAAGTGGTCCATCGTAGTCTTCCAGTATCGCAGAAGCAAGTCTGTCTTTGCTGTTCTCAATTTTACGCTTCTTAACCCACGGGTTTGGGTCTTCTGTAGCCCAACGTATATTCAGAATCTCGTTGTTATCAAGAGCTTGACTTTGCATAGCCTCTTTGGCAAATTCGGCGTTAGAGCGGTTTTTGTAGCGAACAAACGCGACACCTTTTGATTGTAACACCCTAACGTTATCGATCTCCCCCCACTCTTTGAAATGCCTATAAACAATCGATTGAAGGTTGGACGTTACCGATATTCCACCGACATAAAGGGTCTTTGCGGTTTGTTCGTCCGCAGAAAATGAACCAACACCACTCTGATCATCTCTTACGTGTTCGTGTCTTTCCCTACCGAAGCAGTCTCTTGTGGTGTCTAAAGTTGATTCAAACTCATCTGACGGTAGATTGTGGATCCAGGAACACTCATGTCCTAACGGACAACACCCTCTCGAAAACTTTACGCAAATATATGTACCATCCCATTGTCTTAAACTTCCTTTTGTGGTTCCACTGTCTTCTGTGATACTGCATCGAGTGGAAGCTGGAATTCTCTCTCGAAAATGACCTCTTTCTCCTACTTTCTTATTATACCAAATGTTGTATATCTTTTCGGGAAATTTTTCAGATCTCTGAGGACCAACCGGCTGAGAAATTTGCTTCCTTGCTTTTCGCGTATTTGCCAGTAAATTTGCTACCGCCGCCATCTTGAATCTATCCGTGAAAGGACTGGGGTACACACTAGATCAAAATCTCGTGCCGGACCTCTTTGGCATTGTTTTCAAAATGGCCGATTTGAAAATGCTGTGACTTGATCGAGGGAAAGGAATTTCGCGAAAACCTTATGAGCAGTTTAAGATCAAAGGTAGGAACATAAGAACAGTAACCCAAATTTGGAACATTTTAAACAGTTTCGATCTGGTAAGCAATATATTTGTCTCGTTCTGGGTTTTGAAAGATGTGTTTCTTAATGTTAAATTTAATTTAGAAAAATGTTTTTAACTTGATGTTGGCAAGTGAACTAAAACTGGGATTAAGACCTGCAACCACAATTTTTGTGTGAGGGAGGGGATGGTAGAGTACTTGAATCTCCAGTTGGTGCGCTATTGAAATGCAGTAACCCTTATCCTGCAATGAATCGAACCATGGTCAGGTGCATTTATTACCTCCATAATTTTCCAGACTAGTTACCAACAGAACTTTCACACCCAAACATCAGTATGCATATTCTCCATACTGTTCTAGATACGTTTCCAATGGTGCTGATAAGGAGGATATGTTTAATAATCAAGAGACTCCTCAGGGTAGCTTAATGTTTGATTCAGGGGTGATGTTGTAAGAAAAAAAAAAATTAACGGTAGATGCTAGTCACTCTTAGAGATTTAAGGATCAAAGTAACGTCACCGACATGGAATAGATCAAAGGATCTCCTTGATTGGGAAATCATGCAACAAAATGTCCTGTAATCCCTCTCATTTTTTTTTTTTTTTTCTTGGCACCATTTCACCAGGTGTTGTCTTGCTACCGTTCACTTCACAGAACGCGGCTAAAAGTCTTCAGGGATGACAGTTTTGCTTTAGAAGCTGGAAAGCAGAGGATAAGAACTGAATTTCTAAAGCACAAAAATGAGACTGATCCTGCAAAAATTGCTGACCTTATACAAATGGCAGAGGGTGCCGAGAAGGTCCTGAGGTGTAATATTGTGCAAGGTGTACAAACTGACAAAGGGACATTCCGTTTGAGGATTACTGGGGATACTGAACTTCAAAATAATGCTCCACGTCCATGCAAAAAAGAAAAGTGAATGTGTTTGTGAATATGCTGGTATCCAGTGTTGGTATTAATTAGCATTAAGTTGGTGTCACATCACTGTTGTTTTTGATTAGTCTAACTTGGCTTGATGTGGGAGATACCTTGAAGTTGTCATTGAACTTATATTCAAAATGAGCCGCTCTTTTTTTAAAATAAACTTAAAATTTGACCACGTATTCCTTGCCCGTGTACAGTGCATAGATTTGGTTTGATTGTTGAAAAATTTCTGTATTTTCATGTCTGTATGAGGCAATCATCCTCAGAAATGAAGTCATGAAGTAGCTCTCTTGGACATGAGATAAAACAGACAATTATTTTAAAAAAATCTTTACATTTAATGAAATATTGAGCTTGTGGGGACTGAAGTGTCATTTTCCAACTGTTCCTCAACTTTAGTAGCAGTAATAAATGTTTAAGATAATTTCTTTATTGTTGATTAGGCTATTGTAACATTTCTCAGGGATATTTTCTTATTTGAGTTTCTGCTGTGATTTCTTTTAGTTCAAACCACATAAACTCAGCTACAACTATCAATTACAACTTTGGATACAAGGTATATATGAAGTTCATATATTTTGAACTGCGGTATTAAATACGTATGGTGCACGATCCTCGCAGTAGAGAGGATACGTAATTACAACTTTGTAATCTTCCATCTCGACTTCACCCTTTTCATCCGTGATTACACATCAATCTCTTTATTTTCATTCTAATTTTGATTACCAACCGCATTTAATTAAACCGTGATTTCTACTGTGCATTTGTATTGTCTTCTCCACTATAGAAATCAGAACAATAGTTTTATCATATGATTCAGATTTGACAAACAGACAGACAGACCTTATGGTCTTGATCAGATAAAAAGGACCTTGGGTTTTTGGATTGGAGTGAATGTGTGATCTTGTTTTTGGAACCGATGATTAAAGAAGATTTTATTGTTTGAAGACTGAATCAGATTTGAGCACAATTATTTACATAACCTTTGGAGGTTACAGTCGTGTCACATTGGGAATTATTTTTTTTGACATGTGTAATTGAGTTGAAGTCTTTTCTTTTTCAATTCAATCAGTCAACAAAAATTAGAAATAAAATTAAAAACTGCAAACTTTGAATATCAAGAGCAGCTCTAGAAGAGGCTCTACTGGTGATGTAAGCTGTATGAATGACATTCCGGTTACACTGCTGGGTGAGATCCACTATTTTGTACATTCTCTTCTTTGTTATCTTTGGCTCCAGTTCTGTCATCATCTTGTTCTTTTGCAAACTCGAAAAAAACCTGAGGATATCATTATAGTTGATAGTCAGCAGTTTGATTGGTCAGTTATCACTTGAAACAAGTGTAATGTATACATCTTATTAGATGTTTTGTTATGTGGTATCGCTGAGTATTTTTATGAGTTGTGCTGTATTTTGATGAGCTGGTAGGGCGAGTCAAAGTACAAACAACATTGGGGAGGGATTTGCCAGGGTCTAGCACAAATAATGCCAGATCCCTAGCAGACATGTTACACCAGAAAGAAGTCTGCTTGGGGTCGCTTTACTCCAATATGTTGATCGAAAAGGAGCAAGAAAAATTTAATACCTGTTCCAATGAAGACTGACTGAAACTGTACTCCTCTATCCCGATGTCTTCCTTACCTATTAAAACATACAGCTATACTCAGTGAATGAATATGCTATCAAGCTGTTACTGCTCTTAGTAATATTGATCTTTTCCTCGAGAGCCAAGCACTTTATAGAACAGGCACAATAAGTCATAGCTTTAGTAGCATTACTATGAGATTCTACTAATCTCCTGAAAGCTACTTGTGTGGTACCCTTCGGTAGCACTGCTCGAACTTTTGTGTAAAAAGTAGATTAACTGTCCTGTCCAATTTAATTCAGGGTTTTTACCCAACACTGTTCATGTTAATGAACAAAATGACTTCTAGGCAGTCAATGTTTCAAGTGCAGGCTCACAAGGAGTATTGCAACTCTGCTACAGCTGGCTTCTTTAAGTTCTTAGTCCTTTGCGCTCTAACATCAATAAGCATATCTTAAATTGTTATCTTTACACATGACAAGGACAGTTAATTTTGTTTAACACCCAAGAGCTTCTTTAGCTGGTGATCATTTCCTCTATTCTTGCGAACTTAATGTTTTATTCTAGATTATTATATGGCTGTGTCTCACAAGGACTGGGAACTACCAAACTCACAAATTTGATTGGCTGAAATCAATATTGAAAGTGATTTGGATATATCAACAAAGTTGAAATGGTAAATTGGCCACCGTAATGATTACAAAAGCTGACGTTTCGAGCGTTAGCCCTTCGCTCCGACCAAGGGCTAACGCTCAAAATGTCAGCTTTTGTAATCGTTACGGTAGCCAATTTACCATTTCAACTTTGTTGATATATCCAAATTATTTCATTACCCCCACTGATGCAGCCCCAAACAGTTTCTTTAGAAACTATCAGCCTTTATTCAATTGAATATTGAAAGTGGTCTAAATTTTCCCATCTAGACCGGTCTAGAAAAAAAGGTACAAAGAATATAAAAAATTGACATATAAGACAGCCATATAATAAACATCTTATTAACCAAGCTAGGTCAGTCTGTATGGGAGAATCTTGACTGCGGTTGCTGGTACAGACCTCACTGCGTTCGGTCTGTACTGGCGACCTCGGTCAAGATTCTCCCATACAGACCTCCCACTGGGTTAATAAGAACTAACTATAATAATAATAGTGATATTGTATGGAGGAATTAGATGCTAGTCACTCTCAGGAGTCAAAGGGTTAAGCAGTTTGGTAGCTTCTGTTCCTCGGCAGCCCTAAGCACTTTTGTACTGATCTGTTTTTCAAGAGTCCCGGCTGCTGCACAACCTATACCTCTTCCTTGATGTTTTCCATTCAGATCTAATTAACAATGACAGATGCCTGAAATAGGGGCTTATGACTGGGTTGTGGGAATTCAGCAGCCATGAGGACTGTATTTTATCCGGGGTCTTTTGGCCATAGTGGAAGACCCTGGATATCCCAGGCTCCCTCTTTCCAATTAGCAATGTTGATGAATGCTATCAAGCACATCCAATCCTTAGAGATAGATACCATACCTTTTTCAAGCTTATTAAAGATGACTGATAGTGCCCCAACACCTTCTTTTGGAACCTTGTATATCACTCTTCCACCTAACACTTCAGATTGAGTGGCACCTGGAAGTAGCTTGATAACATAGTCGTGTAATTGTTCCATTGAATCTTCTAGCAATGGACCCCAGGTGTGGGTTTGCTTCAGTTTTAATTCCAGGGTGTAACCACTCCCATAAATGCTCTTTAGATGTTGTGTTGTACCAAGACACCTGAAAACACAAGAAGTTGGGTAATTAGTTGAGACAAAGGTTTAAGGTATAACAACTCTTCCTCATAAAAAAAAAGGCATTTGTTTGAGGTATAACTTACTTGAGTTGGCCTTTGACCATGATACCAACTCGTGAGCACAAAGCATCTGCCTCCTCCATGGAGTGTGTTGTTAGCACAGCCCCTCGTTTACCATGGACATTTCTGCTAATGGTGTTCCTGATAGTGGGAGAGGAAAACAAGCAGAAACTTAGATACAACAAACAGCTGCATAACTTGTTACATTTATGTGAGTGTGTTTAGAAAAGGTGATAAGGCCTCGCTGAAATGTTCAAAGCAGTAAAAGATACTAATTAACACTTGCACTAAGGAAACATAATATTTTGTGAGATGAGGGCTAACCTAGTTGTTGCCAGAAAATGGTTTGTCACAAAAGATTACAAGCTAAACCAAGAGCAGCAAGTGGTTTCTCTAACTTACAATTAACCCTCTGACCCCAGACAGTGACTTGCATCTAATTTCCTTTCAAAGTCTGATTCCTGAACAACACATTAGCGTAGTGAGAATAAAAGAAATAATCACCAGCTAATAATTGTTGACCAAATCTCTCTTGTCAGTACATTTACTTAGGAAATGCATAGAGAACTGTATGGAGAACATCTATACTGATGTTAGGTAGTAAAAGATTAAACACGATGGATCTGATACTGTTC